GAAACGTTGTACATTTGCTGTTATGTTAAACTTATATTAAAGTTTTTCTTCATTACCCATTCAAGCCATCTCCAACCATTATTAGTCTATTTAAAGCTTACTGAATTATAAAGCTGTATTACTGAAGTTTCAAGAAACATTTAGCTACTAGAATAATAAGCTTAGCTCAATTTTGTAACATGAAATCAGAAGAATTTGAGACTAATCTAAATTATAACAAAATGCAGGACAACAACAGGCACAAAATTAGCATATCATGTGACACATGTTTTAATCACAGGAATAGAGTAATGATAAAACTCTACTACTGACATTGCATTTCATTGTCTCATAAATTTTTTTGTAGAATTCTATAGTAATAATTTGCAAAATTAATGCATCATTAAATAAAAATTAAGTCGAAGCATCAGATCTCATGTTTCTGTTTCTCTGTATCTTAAATCTTAGCTAAAGCTATGTATAATAAAAATTACATTAATGTATACATTTCCAAGTTCCACTGCATACATAGTGATAAATTTAAATGTTTGAAAGACTTGCAGAATCCCAAACTTAATAATATCATTTGTATATTTGTATGAATAAGCTACAATAAAAAGTTGATAATAATAATAACTGAGAAACTGGATAACCTGCACATTGCAGTAAGACTATTAATGACAATATGAACCTGTAAATAATTTTTATATCCTAATCTTTGAAACTTAAAGATAAAAGATTTGTAATCATCAAACAACAGATCAATATGAATCCTTTTCAGGAAAAGTCCAACTGTAAGGACCACACGCACTCTATTTACCAAGTGACTGTCCCAGATATCCATGAAAAGCTAAACATGGGCTATCTACACCAGCTGTTTCTAATAAATCAGATGGAAGGCAGTTAGTCAACAGCATCCACTGCCATCACTTGTCTACCCTAAATGAACAGAGAGATTGGACCATCTCTCTTATGATGCACCCACAGCCCCAAATTAAGACATATACTGAATCTTCAAGGTAATTGAGACACAGCAAATCATTGTTCTATTAGTGTTAAGTTATTTTTTAGAACCTTCTGTATTAAATGCAACATGTAGTTTTTTATTTGGAAAATTATTACACTTTACTACAAAATATAAACTTATTAAACACACTAATGTCTAAATGCTGAAACTTGCAATATGCTTTACTCGCATACTATTTTACATTAGTGTGGTTTTAAAATGACACCTTGGAAAACAGTTTTTTACAAAGTCATACTTTATCTTGTATATAAAGATATCAAACACTGCTGACCAAACAGTATTTTACATATAATTCAAATTAATTGTTTATGCCTCCATTTTAAACTCTTTACAGTTTCATAACTCCATTGATACTTAAGAAACTTAAACATTGTATGTAGTTTTTGTTTCAAATATGTTCCTACAAACAGCATAACTAACTTATAAATACTCACAATTATTAACTCTTTCTAGACGGGTCATGGATGAAAGGCCATGTCACCACGTTTGTTGACTCGCATTCAAAATTTTATTGGACTACTATTTCATGAATTTATGTCAGTAAGTTTGGTATCAAACTGTAGATTATAATTCAAATTTTGGTATTATACCTTACTCAATTTCTTAATTTAAAAGTAAATATTACAAAAACACAAACATCAATTTTTGTGTGTCACGTGATATGTTAAATGCAGCACTGGTTCACATTAAATGTTTGTGTTGTGAAAATACTAAGTCTATAGTTTCATATGAATTAGGAACTCAAATTACCGATATTTACTAGCTAGAATATAAAATATGAGCCTCTTATCTTTTCAATTTGCTAAGATATTGCTCGTGTAATAAATCAAACACAATGGCACTCCACCCACCTCTTTTTGTTTTTGAAAACTATCCCTTATATACATTTACTTCTATATATGACATGAATAACCAATCGGAAGCTCAGAATGTCCCCTAGTGGCTTTCTCAGCCAATTTAATGTGTTTGGATGCTATTTCTTTCTTTCGAACTAAGATTTTAAGGAGGTAGGTTGTGTCTTTAGTTGCTAAAAATTGAATTTTTTTTTAAGACTGAAATACAGCTTAGTTACTAATCTTGATAAATTATAGTGAAATTCTATGATATTGATATAGAAATTTATGACTTTTTTGGTTATTCAACTTTATATATAAAACCTAAAAAATTATTTTGTTTCATATCTTCCACATGCAAAATTTTAAAAGGTCGTAGCTGGAAGAGATAATTGTTTGCTTTATGTCTTTATTTACTGTTCTATGTTTTAAGAAAAATAAGTTTAAGAACTTATTTCTAAATAATCTATATACGTATGTATAATAATTGAAATATGACTGTGTTTTACAAAATACTAGTCTACTAAAACACAGCCAAGACAGGTCAGTTTTATATTATTGGATATGGTAACATGAGTGCACATGCACCTCATCATTGTAACATAGGTATTATTAGCCAGGCATGGCTGAAAGGTCAATATAATAAAAATAATAAATATATATAAATGTATAATGTTATGAGATTTAAGCTATTTAGTCTAAACAGCTATACTTTTATGTTATAATTTGTAGTTATTCTAGAATGAAAAAGGCATAATTTATATTTATTTCCTAATTTTTATATCATGGTTACGAGATCAGTCAAATTGACCAAACCCTTACAGAGATTCACAACTGAAAATAACAGATAAAATATAAAATTTTGTCTTAAGAAATGTTTGATAAAATATCTGGACATTATAAATATTTTGCATGTGAAATTTGAAAATTTTCTGATGCACAAAAGCATTTTTAATCTTAAAATGAAAATTACTTTGCATGATAGATAGGCAACATATGAAAAGAAAAAAAAGCATGAGAAAACATTGTTTTACAAACAGTAAGACTTAATAAAAA